CGTGCCAGGAAAGGGAAATTGGCGCTGAGAATCAGTCGTCTGAATAAGAAAAAAAATCATTGTTATTCTTCCCGCGTGGCGAAACATCTAATTAACACCTATATACGTGTTTCCACACGTACGTGTCAGTGGTTAGCGATGAGTGTAGCGGCATCATTCATAGAAGTGGGGGTAGTGACTCATTATTTTGGCGAGAAGTCAAAATGTGACAGGTTCGTTATCATTTCAACCAGTATTCGTTGTACAACATTTTATTTAACGGGTTTTCGACTCATTGTACTATTTAGTTTATTGCATGTAATTGCGATCATATATTCGCCTTCGCCTCGATGAGGCTGGCGGTTAAGTTGTGCTCAGATTATTAAGAACTATCTCCGCGAACATCCTAAGGTGCTTGCATGATTACAGCCACTACTAAATTGGTCGGAGATGTACATCGTCATGGCGACAGTAATGGGTGTCAGCTTCCTAATTTATGATATCCGTGCACACCACAGTTTTATATCATTCGATATATACATCAATAGCTCACATCTCTCGTCACCGTGGCGATATTAACGGTGATTTAAGAAAACCATGTCTATGACGTAATTGCGATGACGTACGATGGCCGTTTTCGATCCATAGCGACAGTCGTAACTTGTTTCATTTCAAATTGGGGTGGGGTACAAGTTGAATGCTGAATAATTGTCATTGTGGTAAAATACAGGGACAGACTGTATTCATATATGGTTGCATCCCTGTTGAAATAATGGTTCCGCCCTGGTGCGTGATACAGGGGGTAACCCACTTGTAATGCATCATAAATCGTTTCTCAATTATTTTCATTTAGCGAAATTAGTTTACCGATGACGTCATAGCATTCATTGTGTTTTATACTCAATAATACAAAGCAATCCTATAATAGGATCTATGCACTACACTGGGAAAACCGGGTATTGGATAATTGGCTCTTTCAAAAATAATATCGTCGTTTTTGTAATTCAGTGTTAAATATGTTACGCTGCATCGACATAATTTGGTGCTCAATGTCCGCTTTCATTGAAAAAGAAAGAAAAAAGCAGAGCAATTTAATCGGCCTTTCATTGCGATTACTTGATATCACCAGTTATTTTTAGTATTAGAGCTACATCTGGGGACAATAAGCGATTTGGTTCGCACCCCTGCACGCCTCGTCGACGTGAATCAGAGATCCGCGTGTCAGTGTGCACTCAACGCCAAAAAAGTGCGTTGCACGATACGTGATACACTTTTCAAACCTCGTAACGCGTAAAATAGTCTCTAAGCAGAAATAAAATAAATTTATCTAAACAAAATATTTTACCGTAAACAACGTCTTTGTGCATGTTATATTTACAATATGCTGAGAGCATTCTTTGAATGAGTTACATATTCTCGTTGTTGATGCTAACCGTCAGAAAACAATCTTACTTTATCTCCAACAACTCAACTGTAAATATGATAAGCTGTCACGTGACCTTCTCCCCAACCAATACTCGTTATTATATATGTTTAATGTAATTGTCTTGTACGGCGTAATAATAATAGCATAATACGTCCATTTACTGGAACCATTATGCGTGATACAAACAAATGTAAACGTTACAGCACTATACAAGTCAATAAAGGCGGTGATTATCAGAATGATATTGTCTTCTCAATTAGAATAGAATAGAATAGAATAGAATAAAATAGAGTACTTGGTACAGACTATAAACTCATCGTATTGTCGAAATTCAGAGTGTAATTGACCATCTAGGATGGAAGACGTCGGCGATCACCATGGAAGACGTCGGCGATCACCATGGAAGACGTCGGCCATCGCCATGGAAAACGTCGGCGATCACCATGGAAGACGTCGGCGATCACCAATGAAGACTTCGGCCATCACCATGGAAGACGTCGGCCATCGCCATGGAAGACGTCGGCGATCATCATGGAAAACGTCGGCCATCGCCATGGAAGACGTCGGCGATCACCATGGAAGACGTCGGCGATCGCCATGGAAGACGTCGACGATCGCCATGGAAGACGTCGGCGATCTCCATGGAAGACGTCGGCGATCGCCATGGATGACGTCGGCCTTTGCCATGGAAGACGTCGGCGATCGCCATGTAAGACGTCGGCGATCACTATAGAAGACGCCGGCGATCACCATGGAAGACGTCGGCGATCGCCATGTAAGACGCCGGCGATCGCCATGTAAGACGTCGGCGATCGCCATGGAAGACGCCGGCGATCACCATGGAAGACGTCGGCGATCGCCATGGAAGACGTCGGCGATCGCCATGTAAGACGCCGGCCATCGCCATGGAAGACGTCGGCGATTGCCATGGAATACGCCGGCGATCTCGATGATGGTACGACCGCGTCTTAAAAATCAACAACGCAACCTGAAACATTAATATCCGGGACACATGATTAAAGCACATTTGACTGTAATTAGATTGGATAGTCCGGGAATTGCACCATTTGATATGGCAAATTCAGCATGACGTCAGAGAAAAATTTTCTTTTTCAATCGGCACCATATTCTACCCGATCGTATCGTCTCGTCGTAAGGTCACGTGCTCCGGTGTTTTTAAATTAAGCATTACAAGTCATCTTTACTCCTGTCTCAATATTAATTTAAATAATTGTGAGTGATTTCGACAAACATACAGAACGAGATATCGTGCTGAACCTAGCGATTATGATTTTGCTGGTTCCGATCGTCAATCGCCAAGTTCTACAGGTGTATGTTACAACTCTTCATTTTGTGCCACTTACTACATACATATAACGAGTGACGTCGTCAAAAAAATATTACCATGGCAACGAGACGACAGCTCTCATTGTTTTGCTGAGTGGTAGTAAATTGGGCATTCACTTCAGGGGAGATGAAAAAACCGACACCGTGGAGACAATTTCCTCAATGTATCACCATGACAACCGCATCACGATTTAACTCGAGAAATATGGATGTCTTTTATTTTCACCGAAGCTTAGATCACAAATACCTATCTGAATATTAAATATAATATTCTATGTTACACTAGAGAAAACAGTCATACTCGTATAGCTTTATGACGTCACGGTTTTGTCAGATAACCTACGCTTCGGGGCTGTATATACGACGAGCGCCGAGGGCTACCAACGGCTCTGTATGTAATCTTCTTGTTAAAACTATCCCCAGGGCCTTCTTTCATGGATCAAAGTGTTTCAATATTTATACGTAGGAAGCCCTTCATTGTAATATTCTCTTGAAAGATACTTTTATATTGTTGTTGTGTACCGGAAAAGACGTTTCATATTATAGCAACACGATAGATAATTTTATCCTTTTATCGCCCGGTTTAAACCTGGCCTTCGTGTCAACAGTTGCACTTGGCGGGTCGGATTAGAGCTAATGGTGTGTTCAAACTCTTCAAACACGACTTCTTATCGGAGCTTGCAGTCGGTTTTTATTCTGAATGACATTTTAGCTAAGTATGTTAATTTCGTCTTCCCACGCATACGATCGCCCATGCGTAAAATTTCATTTTACAAGGCGCCATTTAACATGGCGGATTACAGTAAACTTTCCATAAAACTACTCCAACCTAATTACCAGACTTCAGTGCATAACAGTGCACTTTTTCAATAGGTTTCGATATTCGGAGTGTCAGTGCCGACGTTTAAAACGAAGTACTGACGTTTAAAGAGACTGTCAACTTCTTCAATGTTTGTGTTCGGCTCCTGCTACGAAGCACTTCCGTGACGTCACATTGCAGTAGATATGTGTAAGCAAAATGTTGTTCATAAACCACGGACACCTGTTTGGTTGTGTAGTCGGTCATCATTTTAATAATCATTAAAACATTATTTTTTTGATAGACAAGCACAAATTAAAACAAGAAGTCGGTGCTGTAAACTGCGCCCCGTGTACCCACTTACGTCACGGAAAGATACATCGTAAGAGGGCGCGACTTCTAGGGACGGCGTACTTCGCTCATGTCATAAAAGAACTGTAGTATTATCAAGTATTTAGGTACATACATTATACACGATGTACAAGAGTTAATATATTTTACTATTTACGTAGCACTCAATAAGAAACACCATTTTCCTGGCATTAAAACCGATATCACGTAATACCAACATTCATCTTTCAGTGCAATATGGCTAGGGGTTTTGAGAGGTAATGATTTTCTGTCGAGTCGATGATTATACGTAATAATGTAATTAAAAACGTGTTAATAAACTGCAATTTACAAGTACCCTGCGTTCTTCGCTACACGCGGTGCAAACCCAACTACAATTCCCTACATTAATATCTGGTACTACAGTCTTAAATAGCACAATAGACAAATTAGACACAGAAATTTAGAATGACAATATTAATAATAATTTATTATAGTATGTTATTAATCAAGCGATCTACATTTGTAACTGACTACATGTTATTGGCGTGTCACTGTCTAATCGTCTATATTGTGTATTTGTGATCATATTTTCTCGATTGATTGATGTATATTGAACAGGATACGTACACCGACTTGTTATTGAAAATTTAATTGAGTTTTAAATTAAAATGTATATATATGTATATGTCGACGAACTGTTATGATCACGGGGTGATATCATCAAGAAATCTGATGATTTACTAGCAGGTGCCATTGTTGTATATTGTTGTATAAATAGCACTTCCAAATGGTCAAATAACGTCACCAAAAATGCATTTTTTGGTTTAGTTTCTGGAAATCGTCTGTGCGCTGTTTGGACACGTACACCCAGTCCTCGACGAGCTGTGTCAATCTTCCACAGTCGTCGGAAATGACACTGATCGTGGTTTCTGACTTCACGATGTCAGACGAATTGTTAAGCTGATATCGTGAAAATTGACGATTTCACGGTGATAATACTCAGAGGAAAAGAAGAAATACAACAGATTGTTGTCAATAATTTAACAGGTCCCTAAAACCTTTTTCAATAATTCATTTGTTTATATGCTTGTATTTCTCTTTTAATGTATTTTCCAGCCGAACAGTTAGATAGTACCCTGGAGGTTCTTAGGTGGAACTCCCGATGCGAGTGCGATAAAAACTGTTCTCTTGTTGGTGCGTATCAAGTAGCTATCGCGTTAGTTGGTCGGATCGGGATCCAAGGAAAGTAAGTACATGGCCATATAATGGATTTCATTATGTATTTTTGTGCACGCATGCTAATGCTGCAGTCGGTAAGGTTTAATCACGTGATAATGATACGGGCAGTGGATTGGTGGACAGTTTGTATACTGAAAGAGTGTATCAATGTAAACTGAGTATTGCGGCATCTATATGCAATCTATCATTCAGAACTGTTGAACGAAGAACATTATGATGATATCATATTGAGCTGTTTTTATGAGAGAATCTGTTTTTTTTAGCGTATATAGAGGTGACGAAATTTCGTGTCAAAATCTGTCTTCAAATAATCATAATAATTTTTTTGGTTCACTGTCAATCTGTTTTTGTGCGAAAAACAGTAATAGTGGATACTTGTAGCAGTTTCCATGGACCACAATGAAAACACATTTGGTCGTCAATTTCTTAATACTTAATACTATGCGCAGAGACACCATGAATAGTTGTATGTATCATTAAGCACAATATTGAGACAAATCTTTGCCATAGGAAACAATGATAAACTTGAATACCCTAAAACAAAAAAAAACATGCTATTTTCACTGAATTTATTGATCGAATTTCTCCAAATTGAGTATGATTACTCCATATTTTCTTCATCCCTGTAACATAATATATAAACTATGTAAAAATAAAAAAAATGACAATATTTTTTGTGTATCATTCTACCTTAAAAGGGCGTGATTTGTGTGACAAACTGCAAACACAAACTGAATGAAATGATAGAACAAACAAATTGTCACTCGTGATTATATTGTTTACGTCTAGGTCGACATGTTCTTGTCGTAAAACCTAGCCTTTTTACGGCTCCTAAGGTAGCATGTCCGTTTCGACAGTTCACGAAGCGCAAATAAATCTGTCGAGTATGGCAGCATGAGTACTACATGTCCATATAGAGGGGTTAAACTTGTACACTCCTTCGGAATTCGAAGCAATTTAGTAAGAACAGTTTTATAATGCGCCTGTTAAAGTTGACTTTATGACGACACATGTTTAATTCCCGCATGCTCCTGTCAGTGTGTCCGGATAAATGTGAAATAAGATTTTATTTATTTTTTAAAATAATTTTTATGAGCAAAATTTACGAAGACATTATTATAAAAATCCGACAAATATATATATTAAGCCTCTGCAGCAACATTTTTAAGAGAAGAACAAAATAAATGGTGTTGAAAAAGTATAATGAAAAATCGCTGAATTATACTTTACAGAATTACAAATTATATTAATCACAGTTTAAATGGCAGCGCTGTTCAATGATTAATGTAGGTGCACTGTCTGCGATTAATACGTGCACTAAATGTATGAATGTTACTTCCGCACATTTCGCTAATTACCGTATGCTCTTTGCCGGCATGCTCACTAATAATTCAATGATTAAACTATAAGTGTATACAGCAGCAAACTCTAAAAGAAAACATAGATAACTTTGAGTACGTTCCGTGTTTTCTCATCCATTCAACAATACGTCACAGAAGCACTTCGTCTCTAGGGGCGTCACGCAGCGGTGTATTCATTACTAGTATTTCGCAGACTATTATTTGCCTTGCCCTTAATGAAAGTTTGTCGTCCGAAAACGAAATTGGCATGTAATCTATTCCAAACTGATTCATTTTACGTAGTAGCATTTAATATGGATCTTCTGAGAAATTATTTTTCATTATGTATGTGCTTGGAGTGGACTTCAGTTCTTGTATGGGTGGCATTTCACTTGGCGTGCGATATATTAGGCAAGTCCGTTCGTTGAAACATGCAGATACTCGACTGAGGTCAACAAACTTTATTTCCTATACGCCCGAAAGTGCAAGGACATTCGTAAGTCACTCGTAAGACGGATATGACATTTGCAGTTTAAATGAAACAGTCACTCAGGTGTCGATCTCAAACAGGAACTATGGCGTTTATATTTGTAATTGCAATTTTCGAAATGTTGATGGACCGTATTTACATAATGTAGAAACGTGGGTCTTAAAAAGCATGCCTTATAGACTTCCTGTCGCGAAACACTGCTTCCGCTATAATCACGTCTGATCAGGGCCTTCGGGCAAAGTAGCATGTCACTGGTAAATAATCTAAAAGTTCTATTTTTTATAGCCGTACCTAAGTAAGACGATTTGTGATTGGATACATACTCATGTTATTAATAATATATAATAAATACCGCGTTTCTCTCCCCAGATTTATTTTAGTATCTACTATGTGGACAACGAACACGTCATTATGCTATTTTTAGTATTTCAGTTGCATATGTCTCGCGTAATGCATCTGCCACTTAAAACGCGTGACGACACATGTGACTTGTTTATCTCTTTTTTTTCAAGCTATTCTTGCATCGCCTTCAATTTGTTTTACAGAGAATATACGCGGACTAATATTTGCACGGACACTCGTTCAGTCTATTGACATCCTCGGTCTTTGTGTACTTACGTGACGTTGAAAGGTCTCAAACAAAATAGACCATCGGAATGGAATGCACATGGACGACATTCCTTAATACGACATGAAGCTAATCACTTTATCAAATTGAAAGAACATCCATATTCAGTTACTCACTCTAGAAGTTATTTGATTTTGGAGTACAATCTAGTTAATAGCAGTGAGTGCATCCGAGTGTCACCACAACGAGTCTTCGAGAATCCTGTTCATATGCAAGTTACCACGCGACACGTCCAATTTGACGGACCCAGATACAGACATTGTATCAGTAATTAGATATAGACGCGTGATGATTTTCGAAACGATGACGTCAGACGGGGGGGATGAGGTGCGCGTGCGTGATTTATGTAATAAAGCGTGGGTTGTTGATTGGATTATTTTCAGTTTATTCCTTTACTGGATTAACAATAGAAAATAAGTTGTATAAACAACAAGAACAATAGTATCCTAAGACTTCAAGATGCCATTCCGGGGATATTGTGCAGTATTTGTAATGCGTGGATAGCGCTGGGAGCGTTGCAGCTAAACGATGCAACTGAGTATCGTTTGCTTCGTTCAAATCCCCGGGTGCATATGGATGGGTGATTGATACTTATATTATGGTCAATTGGAGGCTTCATGATGCGCACGTGCTGTTACTGGGTCGTGCATATTCAATTTTAAACGCAACGACTAGAATGTCTGCAGGATTTCGAGTCGTTTCGCAAGATACATTATACCTGGGGTGGTAGGTCGACATTTTGACCACTAGCTGCAAACATGACTGACAAAATGATGAATTTGATGAACTACTCAGACATATCATACCGATATCACGTGACACTGAACCCCACAAATGGTGAAAAAAATGGTGGATTTGATGACGTACTCTTACACAAATATCACATGACACTGAACCGCGCAAATAGCCTATGGGGTGACTAAAATGGTGGATTTGATGAAGTACTCAGACAGCAAAAAATCACGTGACACTGACACCCACTATTGTTTGCCCTATCTTTTCGCATAACGCAATTGCACTATACAGAAAGCGTAATGCGCCGTTTATAGTGCGTGATTGACAATATGTATTGCGTAGCGACATTTTCAAAGTCTTAAGTCTAGCATCCTGGTAACCATTGCCATAACCACAGTCCCTCTAGAAGGACTGTGCTATAACGTTTTATGAATGAAAGCAGGTATTCCGACAATACGCTGAACGTTCACATCATATCAATCTAATTAAAAAAATCAGATCCTAGTTGATATTTTTTTTAATTCATATAATATTTTTTTATTTTTTTTACATGTACTAGTACTTAATTTTATTATTTATTTACTAGTAGCCTTTTAAATTTTGTTAATCACTAAAGTAAAAATAGAGTAAAATAGAGCTATGTGAAGAAAAAAATACACAAATCAAATTGATATCATATCAGAACCGACAGTTCTAAATCTAAAAAAAAAAATCAATTGCAGGCAATTTATGTTTGGGTACAGAGACTAATCTTTTTTTTAAAACTCAAATCATGCCATCTATATTTATTTGTATCATTTAGAACAAATAATCGATATTTCATTTCTGAACGGGTGAGTGCACGATGCTCGTTTAGTGTCGTGGGATCAGATGTTAACATTACTATAGAGTGAAAAAAAAAAACTATTTCAACAAAATTCAATTAGCACAGTATGGATGAAGCGACTATTTTTAATCTAAATGAACTTCATTAATGAGAGATGGTAAAAGTGAAATAATACACCATTCCTTTTTGCGTTTTATGTCGACAAACGCGTCTTTCACATTTTTGTCCGTCAATAAAAATGTTTGAGCAATTACTAGATTTAAAATGACGAACGTCTACATAAATAATGAACATTTTCTAATTCGATTGGAAATGCCTTTACCCTTTTACGTTATGTTGACGTCACGCAAACGCACTGACGGCGCTAGAGGGCGCGAATTTTATGAAAGATATGTTACATTAAGTCATGCGAATAAGTTGAAAACTATCGGTAATATAGACCCAATAACACTGCCATAGCGTAAACATTATACTAATTAACTCATTAATATGCACGAATGCAATATTAAACACACACCCTGCGTTTCCCGTGTGATCGTTGTGTATACTATTTCATTTCAGCTATTCTGTGTTGAGAAACGTTAGGTGGAACCATATACCATATGCGCGAACCATGCCTAATTACTAACCCAAAACTCAACTTATGATTATATGATATATGTAGTGGAAATCAATGAACGGTGATTTCTTCAGCTACACTGTTCAGTTAGGTAAGATGATTATATTGTATGCAGATTTTTAAAAAAAAAACCTGTTTTCTTCCTTGATCAGCAAAGTTTTCTAATTATTAGAATTAAATTTACGTGAAAGTATAAAATTACACTAGAGCCCATTGATCAAGTGGAAACATTCGTGAAAATGCAAACCAAGCTTAAATATGCTCAAATATTGAAAAATATGCCTGTGGTGTTTAATGCTTTTGCAGTAATTAGTATACATATCATTATCCCTTGTTTCAAAGTGACGCATATGCCGATCCAATTTACTG